GTGGCTGAAAACAGAGTTTTATATTCTTAAAATGAGATATGAAAAACTGCAGGGGAAATAAAAGTTATGGTTTCTTCCATCCGGGTGGTGTATGCCTGATGGGAGTGCCCGATGGCAGTTTCTGCAAATTCCGACACATGAGAATTTTCGGTGTTGAATTTTGGTTTCTGCCATCGGCCTGTTTTGCCTAATGGGAGTGCCTGATGGTAGTTTCCAGCAAAATATGTATCCTTTACAGAAATAGTATAACTTTTGCTTCACTTATCCGATCAACTTCAAACCACCGTCAAACTTAAGCTAACTTAACTGGCCATCTTGTGTCCAATTTAAAGCTTGATCCAACAATGAGAAGCCTTTCAACAAACGCAAACTTTGACCATATCTTCCAGGCATCTCTTTGCATCCATAATGTCTTGTTTTCCTCGAAACCAACTTAGAACCTGAAAAAACTCGATAAACATATCATACTTACAGAGATCAAGAGTTAGAGATTCGTCTCTCAAGGGTTACAGAGAAATATAACCAAAAGTCTGAGAAAAATTAAGCATGTTCTAAAGAGTTATTGAAAACATGGTTTTATATTCTAAAAATGAGATCTGAAAAACTGCAGGGGAAATAAAAGTTCTGGTTTCTGCCATCGGGGTGTATGCCTGATGGGAGTGCATGATGGTAGTTTCCAGAAAAATATGTCTTCTCTTCAGAAATAGTATAACTTGCTCCACTTATCCGATCAACTTCAAACCACTGTCAACCTTAAGCTAACTTAACTGGCCATCTTGTGTCCAATTTAAAGCTTGATCCAACAATGAGAAGCCTTTCAACGAACGCAAACTTCGACCATATCTTCCAGGCATCTCTTTGCATCCATAATGTCTTGCTTTCCTCGAAACCAACTTAGAACCTGAAAAGACTCGATAAACACATAATAGACTTACAGAGTCCAGAGTTAGAGATTCGTCTCTTAAGGCTTACAAAGAAATATAACCAAAAGTCTGAGAAAAATAATGCGTGTTCTAAAGAGTTACTGAAAATAGGGTTTTATATTCTAAAAATGAGATCTGTAAAACTGCAGGGGAAATAAAAGTTTTGGTTTCTTCCATCGGGGTGTATGCATAATGGGAGTGCCCGATTGCAGTATTCTTGCTGCCTTGATTACTTATTAGACTTTGAGTTTCTGAATTGGCTAAGTGATTGAAATTGTTGTTAGGTAATTCTAGCTGAAAACTAGACTTACATCGGGATGCAAAAATCAGAAAATTATGAACCGAGCTCCTAAGACGAGGTGTTCTCTTAGTTCTTGTGGTATGGAGTGAACGTAAAACAGCAGAAATCGAGAAGAAAAAGGGTTCACGAGCTTCTTCAAAGGCAGCTACATATCTTCCTTCTATTGGGTAACGATCAAAATCTTTATTGGAACAAAAATAAATGCTCATCATCATTCTCATTTTGCAAAGTAGTGATTTTTCCTTACTTGGTAGGAAGATTTCAATACACTGGCTCAATCTAGTTGCCAAATCGAAGGTGAAAGGTGAAATCAGGTTCAAGGCAGAGATTGTTTCGCCTGGTGAATGGGAAAGGTGGAAACTTTCATCGTTTTTTTGCTTATCAAAGTTTGATAGAAGAAAGATAGAAACTTTGTTTCTAAGTCTTAAAGACGTATGTGGTTTTGTTTGTTTTAGGTGGATAAGAGATCAACAATATATCTACACGAGTCGACCCTAGTGAATAATGTACATCATACTATGGTTAGATGGTCGAGTCCGCAGATCGGGTAAAGTAAGTTTCGTCGAGAACACTTTCCTCTTCTGGTTGCAAAAGTGGATCCCTTTGGTTATCGTTTCGATATCTCTGTCTCGGTTTTGTGCATCTTAGATGTAAGGGAAAAATCTTTCTTTTTCAGGAGATGCCTGATTGGGCTGAAGTCGCAACGGAGTTGTCGTCATGAATGACATGCTCAACAAGTTAGAAAGATAAAATTTTATCTTCATAAATCTTTATGAGAGACTAGAGAGAACTCTTAGGAGAAGAAACACTTTGTATTGTTTGTGTGCACAAGTCCATAAGATTAATACTAAATGTGAACACGTTTTCTGCATTTTCAAAAGGAAATCATGTTGTATTAATTTCGGTAACTTCCACCTTTTTCTTTTTACGACATGATGTTATATACGAGTTTGAGTCCGGATGGTGAATGTTATATGAAAGTTGGTAAAAATATGTAACACGTTTTGGTTTGGTGACAAAGAATACGGGAACGTTTTTAGTACGGTATAGCATTTATAAAATATGATTTATTAGCAAGTGATATTCTAAAAGTTCTTGATTAATTTGATATTAATGTAGATTAATGGAGGCAAGTTTACAAGAGATTTTAGCGTGGGCAAGATATAA